TGTGTTTGTGCAAGTTGGTGATCTCTGTGCTGTGGGACAGGTTTCCATGGAATAAATCTGTGCCCTGTGGTGAGGGGACACACCCTGCTAATGTAAAGAGGAGTGCACTCGCACACTTTTAAAAGCTAAACTTAGCCTTTCTAAGTGGAAGTAACTAGATGGCTGCCAGCGTAGCCCATGACCTACAGGAAATCCCATCAGATGGAGGAGAAGTGCTCAGGAATGGCATGTGGACATTTTTTTTTCTTTTTTGGCCAACTTGGTCTTCTACTTAAAGTACTGAGAGCCATTCTGTGCACAAGTTTCCTTCCTTTTCATAAAATAGCCAGTGATTACAAGGAATGAGTGGAATTGTCTTCTTCATAACAAATTGGGAAAAAACCTGAATATTTTTGTGAATGAGTAAACATACTTCTGGAGTTGCCCAATAGTCATTCGGAAGTGGAAGCTGTGGAGATGCTAAGCTTATGTCTGTCAGGGATAAAGAGACTGGAAGGTGTTGGCTTAGGTTGTTGGCAGCTATTAAGCTTTGAAAATAAGATGCTAAAACGAGTCACCAGATATCCTTTGCAGCTGTTAGTGTGTTTGAGTGGGCTGTTCAGTCTGTGTGTGGAAAACACTGCATGCCAGTGATGCACCACTGATTTGTGATTTCCCTGACTTTTCCTAATATTGCCTCCCACTGCTCAGTTGCTGTAGGTTGGTGGGTAATGATGCTGGATACCACTGTCATACACAGTAAGTTGGTGAAAAATGTTGAAGGAGTTTTGTATGTGAAGCCAGGTGATATTTTGATGGCGCTACCTCAGCTGAACCCCCCACCTAGGGTCAAGGTCTGGGACTGTGTGTGGGATTTTTTTCCCCCCATTATCAACAGGATGATAATGGGGGGAAACGGAAAGGAAACAGACACCAACCTGAGTAGTGTTTGTTTTTGAGTGTCTCTGAGCACCAGAGAATTGTGACTTGTTGGGAAATAGTAACCGAACACATAATGGTGAGTCATGTGGCACTGCTAAAAAGACACCTATGAAAATGAGTGTTGTACAGCTATATGTTAGGCTGGGAGGGTGGGAGCTTCTTGTGGTTTTAAGTGTGAACAGTAAGCTTCAGTAGTCCACTCAGTTCCTTTATGTCTCAGCACACATGCTCAGACATGCAGGGACCTCAGACTGCTCTGAGGTAGAAGACTAATAGGGTTCGTGCACTTGGTGCTTAAAAATACTGCAAAAGATGGTAGATCAGCTACAAAAAGCAGTATTAACTCCATGTAATGTATTCACTGTGAGGCTCTGTATTGAACCGATTGGTCAGTTATGTGAACACATGAATGTAATTTACTCTTCTCAAGGTCTCTTGGGACAGCATACGCATTTTTCACTTGAACTCAGACACACAGAAATATGACCATAACATTTCTTCAAAGGTTAAGATAATCTGGAGGAGGAAAGGAAAACAATGAATGTCTGAGATTTTTGAGACCTCAGGCAGCACTGTTTAAAGTCAGGCCTGGTCCTGTAGTGGTACACGCTGGGCTTCTAAACGCTTCTGCAGTCCTGTGGTCAGTGAACACATTTAGTCACTCTTACCATAGTGGTCTAACACGCTGTGTTAAAAAGGCTGGTACAAGTATTATGTAGTAGCAGCTATGCTAATACCAGGACCCTGAACGCAAAACATGTGATAGAGGTGTAGTTTTCATAACAAAAGCCAGGCTTTTGTTAAAGGATATGACTCATCTCAGTTTGTTTCCCTCTTTCAGCCATAGTTGTGGATTCCAGTATTGCTGAGCTGGTGTTTGCTGCACTTACGTTTGTTGACTTCTTGAGTGTGTTTAATTTTTTCTAAAGATTAATGTGGACGTTTACATCACATCTAAACTCTGATGTGTCTCTTTGAACAAAAGGAAAAAAAATCTAAGGTGTCTACAGGTATGTCACATGGTTTGTATGTGTTGCAGCTCTGCAGCTGATGGCTGCTTTACTGTAAACATGACACAGTGACACACACGTATGATTCACGTTTTCATTTCCACATGTTCTGTTGTAGTAGTTTACTCGCCGACTTTGTTAAGCCCCATTTTCCTGGGAACCGTGCAGCATGTGACTTACTGTCACAGAGTGTATGTACGGACTGGTAAAGAAGAACACCAAATATAGTAACTGGAGGAAAATGACAGATGATTCCTTGCTTGTCATCAATGTCATTTCATTAAGACGGAGATTTTGGAACTCGTGACACTGAAATGTTGACGATCTATTGCAAAGCCCATTCTCAAATCAGGGTTATGATTTGTGGCCATAATTTATGGATTTTCCATAAACCATAAAGTACTGTTTTCAAAAGGAAAAAAACTACAATGAAATACTCCGTGTGTGTTCAAAAGATACAGAACTTACATTAGTTCCAATGCAGACTTCAGCAGGTGATCAAACAGCTCGTTTCCTTATTCCTCATTCTTGTTATTACTTAATCATCTGGCGTTAACATATTGCTCCACTGTTTGTTTCTCACTTTGTGTAATTTATGCATTCCTTCTGCTATTTATTATTCTGGGGAACTGGCAGTCTGTTTATTTTTCATGGACTGACAACCAGCCTTCCTGTTTACTGGGTTTGGACTGTGTGTGAATCACACACTTGCAGCTTGCACACACAATCACAAACACATCTTACTATAACCCCACCTGCTGCTTTGTTTTCACATGAGGACTTGACCCAACAGAGCCCCGATAGATTTGTGAGGAGAAGAGGAGAAACGAGGCATGCTGGGAAAAACCAAAACAACAAAAAACAGTGAGGTCGCATGCCTTCTGTGAATCTTTAGCTGTGCTTGCTTTCCAGGAAAGAAACCTGTTTTTCTCAAGGTTTCTCAATCAATGTTTGCCAATTTTCTCAAGCCAAAAAAAAAAAGAAAATTAATAGTAATAAAAGGGAAATCTGATGCTCTGGTGTTGTTGTTTTTCCAAAAAAAAAAAAAAGACTTCTCCCCTTGGTTCAACATCTAGATGTCTCATCAGTGCATCCTGTCCTTGTTTATTTTATCCCTGTGGTTTGGTCAGCTCCATTCACTGCCGGCACCATTTAGTTTCTAGCAGTGAATCTAAAGGATCTGGTTTTTAAAAATGGTGAGACTTTGTTGTCCTAGTAGAATGGACATGAGGAAACATGTCAGGCAACATCAACCTGACATGGTGCACTACATGTCATGGCTTGAATTAGTGAAGGTGGGTCCAGGCTGTTCTATCACTAAATGATCAGTGTTACAGAGAAGCTCCTCGTGGATTAGCTTATATGTGACTTCTTTGTCCATGTCACTGTTGGGCTGCTCTAGAGTGCATGCGTCATTGTTTAAGACGGTCTGCATAGTTTTACGTTCATAAACTGTCCAAGAGTCCCTCAAATCAGATGTTCGCCAAGTGATTCCTTTTTGTTAAAAATGACCAGATCATTGTTCTTTTCAGATGTTGGAACCCTGACCCCAAGAGATGGTATCTGCTTGACTCAAATTGTTTTTCAAGGCTTAAAGGGTAAAAACACCTCAGTGGGGAAAACCAGCCTTAGGCTCTGTCCATGCTTACCATGATGGAGCTTCAGATATCTTAAACACTACCACTAGTGGGGTAGTGGACGCCCAACCTCACTCTCTTGGCAAAGTTCCATGTCCTTAAACTTAGAGTAGCTCTGTGTCATCACAGCTCTGTTACCAGGATTGTTATGGACAGAAGTTCTTGTTGCCTCGTATAGATTACATATAATAGTTTTCTATACATTGCATTCCCTCATGTCATGTATGTCTGAGGGCATCAACAGTTAGACGTTTGACCTCTAGCTCGAGTAGGGCTGTTCGATATAACGATATATCGGATGACGATATGAAAACGTCCATCGTTTCATTTTACGCTATTGTTTGTCGTCGTGTCGTAAAATAAACTGTTTACGGCAATATTTTTTTCATGGTTTTGATGGTCACTGTAGTGGCTATGTTAATTAGTTAAAGTTCTCTCTTTCTCTTATATTTAATATAACCACACTACAGACAGACAAGCGTTTGTTTTTATGCGTTGTCGTTGGCAACAATGACGGTAAAACCACCGCGTGTCCGCTTGTTCCACATAATCTTGAGTCCAGCCGCAGACTCAAGATTTATGCTTTCATAACAGCCTCTGTTCAAGCACTCTGAAGAGGAAAGGATTTTGGGTCAGCTAGTGGTTGCTGGTGTTTTCCTCTTTCTCACGTGTTTCTTTAAAGGGAAGGACTGCAATGTGTTTGCATGCCACTCACAGCTGGCTCGTATCAGCTGCTGTAAAAGGATCCGCCACAACATCTGTGAGAAGCGTGCCTCTGCGTATGCTCGTGCGTTCAGTCTGTTTAAAAACACAAACAGTATTGTAGGAAACACAAATCTGCTTTGGAATTTGTTTTGAGTGAAATGTTTTTCAGAGTATAAGACCTAAAATATGCATGTTGCTTAAGATAGAAATTATTTTAAAACCATGATTAATGAGGAGTGAGGTAGAGCAATGCCAGTTGGATAGCCCTCAATAAATCACATCATCATTCATCAGTTAGTTTTTTTTGAAAAAAGTAAAAATAGTTTGATTAAATATGCAGCAAACTAAGAAATCAGGAAGGAGACAAATAATTTTTCACAACACTGTAAAACTTTCTGCAGCAAGAGTACAGAAACTAGAAAGAGATATCAGCTTTGTCCCATATTTAAATCACAGTACATTTGTACATAGTACCTTTATATCCCAAGAGAACATGTGCTCTAGTATGTATTTGTGCTAGCAAGTGAAGGAAAGTGAATCGTTAATTTTTCGGGCTGTTTTCTGAGCTGGGGTTGTTTCCTTCCACACACAAGCAGCCTTAATTTATTTCAAATGGTTTAGAGGAAGACAATGAGAAAAAGTGTGGTGGGGAAATGGTGTTTCTGAACGAGTGAATCTCCTTTGTTTGTCTCTAATGTTTGTGTGTGTTTTTTCCCCTCCTGCATAGACGGCTCATCAGACAGGCGCACCGAGACGACCACAGAGGCAACATGTCTACAAGTAACATCAGTCTGCCCTCCAAGCGGGACAGCAAGGGCAGTTTCTTCAAGGTGTGTGCCACTCTGAGCAGTCAGAAACATCCTTACAAACAGAGCTGCGCTCAGCACGCTTCAGGTAGAGACTGTCCCTCACTGTCTCTACCTGAAGTTTTTGAGGAAGAAGTTGCAGTCAGCATCACGTTCATCAGACCATGAGAAATCAGGCTATTGTCAAAATTTCCTACATTTCCTACTAAAGAAATTCTGACTGACGAAGAAGAAGAAAAGCAATCACTTTTCTTTTTCATAGACATTTATTTATTAGGGGAATTTCATTAAGACTGAAATCAACTTTGTGAGAAAATCCGCCCTTAATTTCCTTATTTCGTCTTACACTTAGAGCAACAGAGTGGCACAGTAACTCTGGCACTGCCGAGATGTGATAGTTGTCAGATAAAGTACAGTAAAGTAAAATTTAATTGGATGTATTTGGAAAAAAGGGAACAGTCTTGTCTCAGTAACCCCTGAGACAAGACTTGTGGGGTGAGCAGAGTTGTTAAATGGTGTCATTATGACCCTAAATTGACAATTTCATTACACAAATAAAAAAGATGTGATAACGCTGGAACATAAAGCAGTGTCTCTGCCTGTGCAGCGCAACAACAGGAGTACTCTTAGAGCTCCTACGTCTGACCTGAGTGCACGAATAGTTCATCAGGTTATTTGTTTAAATGCTCATCTCAGTTACTGAAGACCGTAGAAGAAAAAAATTGTACTGCTGTGAGTCAGATTTTAATTCAGAAACACACAGTTTGGTCCTTTTGGCTCGATTAGACCTTTAAAAAGATGAATTAACTGAAATCTATGAAGTGCATATTTAGTTTTTCCCAACTTGTGGCCGAACTTTGTTCTGGTGCGCTCCTGCAGAACTGTGCTCTGTGAGTCCTCCTCACCACTCCCAACAGTTTTCCACAGTGTTCAACATTGTATTATTATTTGTAGATAAATTATTTTTACTATTAAATCAATATTTCATCCTAAATTTAATAGGACATGCTTTGAAAATGTTACTAGGAGCAACTCTTTGTATTCGAAGCTTTGTGAGGTCTGAAGAGAGTCGCTGTGGTGCTGAATCCACTCCACTGCTTCTCACAGACAACGCTGTTTTTAACACTCGTTAAAAGTCTTATGTTGTCTGGGACTTTCAGGCCTTTTAATTACACCTTTAATAAATCGTACTGATGTAGAGCGGAAATCACTGTCTCGGCGTTTGCACGGCATGCAAGTGTATGGAGTCTGTTAGGACAGGTGTCCATGCGGTGAGGGTGAAACGGTGACTTCAGCACACATGCATGTGTCTGTGGGTGTGTGGTAGGTTCTCCTTTGTTAATAGCAGCCCTGCACAATTGCATGCAGAGTGTGTCACTTGCTGTAGTTGAGGTTTTTTTGTTGTTGCCAAGCTTTGAAGTCATTACTGCTTTGATGTGAGTCAAAGTTGTAATACAAGGCCGTGTGTGTGAGTGTGTGTGTTTAAGGCAGGACTACAGCTAAGCTGCTGCAGGTGTTAGCATGTTGTGATAACTGGCACTGATGGTTAACACTTAGAAAATATCAGCTTGTCAGTGTTTGAAACTTGAGGTGAAATAGTGCAAAGTTTATTTTCAGTAGAGCGTAGAAGAGTGGCTCGTCCTGTTCAGACGTTTCTGAGAAACATCACTGAGTGTCAGCTGGTGCTCAGCGAGCCTCTGTTGATCAAGGGTGTCTGATCGGGTCTAAACCAATGCAGTCATTGGTCTAAATGTAATATCAAAATAGTATCACATTTCACATGCTTTTTCACAGGGGTTTAATAAAAATAGTGATATTGAAAACTAAAACACTTTGTTACTGCAGACTTGCGTAGCTGTAATAGATGTTATATAAGAGCAAAATGGAAAAGTGAGATGCATTTCAGTTTTATTTATTCAGTGCCAAGTCACAGCAGCAGTCGCCTCAAAACATTTAAGAGTAAATCCTGTAAAATCAGGTTTGCCAGTTTTTGGATCTCAAAACTGAAAAAAGATCGCCAAGGCCAGATGAATATCTCGCCAGGTGTCAGGTCTTTGTGTATTTTCTTATCCTGATTTTGTTCTCCACGTATCCAGCTTCTTCTTTTAAAGACACACTTCACACCAACTTTCTAGCTAATAGCTCTTTGGTACTCTTGTTGGTGCATGTTTGTCACACTGTGTAGCTAATTACAGAAACGAGACAGGCAGACAGGGTGCTAATAACAAACTACCTAAAGATACATTTTAAAACTGGTTCCTTGACAACTTTGTTATATGCAAACACGACACTGGTGCTGGCACCTTTGTTTGAATTATTGCAAGAAATTCTGCTTCCATGGAAAATACATTCAAAGAAATAAGAACTGGTTCAAGACTTTGGCACAATGCTGTATCTACCAACAAACATTAGTTGGATATTAATACAATAATATTTTGATATATTCTAAAACATAGGACAAAAAGCTTTTCTTATACTTTGATGCCAGTCATATTATAGAGAGACAAATCAGTTATGATTTATAGCAAAACTCAAAAACCCATTGTGATCCTGCTGAAATACAGTTGAAATGTCTACATTTTTATGTCTGTAGCTCAAAGAGAAGTGCTAGAATATTCTAAGCTGTTGTCTGAGCCAGTGTGGCCTGGCTTTCTCTTAATATGCATTCTGCCCCCTTAAATTTGGTAGTTAAAGCTGCTTTTATTGCTTGTGGCGCTGCAGCAGCTGTTCATTTTATTCATCTGGTTTAGGAAATTTATTTCTTTGTTTAGCATTTATAATTTGTAAATGGGGGGGGGGGGAGGGGAACATCTGTGGCTTCATTGAGAAAGTGTTGTCTTTCTAAACGTTGAGGTTGTGAACCTTAAATGTTCCCCTTAAAAAATGAAGGAGTCAGATATTTGATTTCCTCTGAAAGAGCTGAACTAAAGGTTTCCTCACCCTGCTGAAGCTGCTGATGTGAGGTTGCCCAACAGAAGCTGGACTGGGAAGTGAAACCAATGACATCAGTGACACTCTGACGAGGGTCAAGGCCAGACTGACACAAAGAAAAAAGAAGGTAGAATTTGTGTCAAATTCTCATTTGACACATTTCAAAATCTAATAAATCGTCAAACAATTTATATGGAAAGACAAATTGGGGGGGGGGTGTAATTTTATAAATAGGCTCTTTTGATTGGATGTGTTCCTGGCCTTAAGTGTCTGCTGCCAGTTTACCCGTTAAGGGTAGTTTCTGTCTGATCTGAACGTTTCCTTTCTGTTCTTCATACTTATTGTCAAGGCCTTATAAAAAGCATTATTTGATGGGCATACAGTCCTCACGAAGCCCTAAAAGATGCTTATGATCGTATATAGAAATCTTTTATGGATTAAAAATATTCATAAAAGCCTTTAGTTTGTTAAAATGGTTTATTTTTTCCTAAAATTAACGAGGCATTGTTCTTGCTTTAGAGCCAGTGGGTTTAAAATGTGCAATAAGTTATAATTAGCTGTTACTGAGGCCATAGTTAACCTGCAGAATAAAGTCAGTTGAGCAACAAAGAAACAAAAGAAAGTTCAGCACAGACACAATTTAAAGTCTTATTCACATATTTTATGTGTATTTTATGGTTTGATAGCTAATACAGTTCATGTTTAACGATTCAAGATGCAGTGTGTTAAATCAGTGAGCTAGCTCATAGCTATTATGAAAACAAGATAGTTGGTCAAAAGAATGTGGCTCTCTGCTCTTGTGTGTCTGTACATTTTCTTTCTCAGTACGATTTGTCTAGAAGTGGAAAAACAGCTGACAGGAAATACAGAAAAATCAAATATGTATGTGTGTGATCACATGAGTGCTGTCGCAACTGGCATTTAAAAAGCTGATGTGTGGGTCTTTTTTTAGTACATTTGATCGACCTTTTTGGTTGTGAAATGTTTGTGATCAGGCATCCACATAACTTCTAACTCGACTAGATGGAAGTTGGATTCTTGCTTGTTCTCTCTTGCTCTGGGTTAAATCTCTTTTCAGCAACCAGACTGGGCGTTTTACACTTCACTTGTTGCCAAAGTGGAGCCCAGCAAAATAAAATACTTATACTTTTAGTTAAACAGTTGGACAATGTTGAGGACTAAACTGCTGGTTTAAAACAAACATCACATGCATAAGCATCAAATAATTACGGTACAATGTGGCCAACATGCAAAATGTGTTTGTTTTCAAGTTACTACGATTCAAACCACGTTATATTGATACTGTGTTGTGGTTAAGAAGATTTGAATGGTGAACAATACAGATCTCTGTGGAACCTGTATGGACATGAAGATGTTCCAACATGAACACAGACACAAATTGTTTCCTCTGTAGCAACTTTGGTTAGTTAATGGGAAGTGGTTAAATGGGAGTAGACTGTCTTGCAACCACAAACACGTACTTCTACTTCTCCTGAAGAGGATTTGCATGGACGAATGCCATCCTTCGCTTCTTAAACACATCCTAATAAAATAAACATAAACTAAAGCTGACTCGAAGCTGAACCATAAAGTTCTTTCCCAGTTCTAAAACATCCTTTGAAAGTCAGGATGTCCTCACTCCCAAGAGCCAAAGGTCGGATTGATCCTCACAAAGAGTTTGCACCACAGGAAACGCAGCAGAAGCACTTTGATCATCGAGTCTTTGTCTCTGTGTCTGTGCAGCTCATCGACTCATTTGCCTGGGAGATCGGCACTCTGAAGAAGGTGATGGGGAAAAACACGGAGCCTGTGGGAGGATCTCAGAAGACAGAAACACTTGTGGGGTGAGCTCATGCTGTGTCTGTATTAAAGACAGTTCCTAAATTGTGTGTCTGCTTGTGCTTGTATATCTTTAGATTTCTTCTGGTGTATTTCTCCATGGCTGCCAGCAGAGAGCGCTCCTAGCAAACCTTTAGGTCTTGATGTGTGAAATGTGGTGATATCGGCACAAAGATGCCACTGAGCAATGTCAGGAGTCAGCTTGACAAACAGGAGCTGCTTTGCAGTGCGTGTTTCTCACTCGTCTCTCAACTCTGAAAAAAACGTCTCTGAACAAACACCTGATTTGCTTGTGAACATGCAGCACTCACCTGTGGATCTAGTGTAAAGTTTCATACCTTGGCTGGAAGGTCCAGTGTGGACTTCAGTGATTAATTCCTCTGAGAGACGGTTTCTGTAGAATTCAGAAAGTACCGGTTAGTTATTGAGGAACCGAGAAGGAGGTTGATAGGCCCTGCGAGGCACACTGTCTGTGTTGGAATAATTTGAACTAAATTTACTGAATTACTCATAGCCTTTTTTTAAACACTATGAACACTTTGAGTATTAAAAGTGTGCGTGGGCATCTTAGTATATAGTGAGAGCTGGAAGAACTGTGTGTAATCTCAGTAGGGGGCTTTACTGCGTTAATAAATAACATAAGTAAATATGTGAGCTTCTGTTGACTCTTTTCAGAAATACAAAGTTAAAAGATGTCTTGAATGTTGTGCAAGCAAACTAAAGGCTGGGTCGCACTGAGTGCTTTAGCTTACAAGCCCAAGTATTCTTCCACAACTTGTTTCTCCTCTACAGTTTAAACCTTACATTCACAGCTAAAATACCAGGTAACCTAGCATGCATGTCTTTGGACTGCAGGAGGAAACCAACAAAGACTCAAACCATAAATGTTCTTACAGGGAGGGAACCATCACAACACTGCATAGCCTACTGATGCTTCACAACAAGAGTTTAGAAACAAAGGCTTTCTCTTGATGATTTGGAAACGGTTGCATCAGCTTTCTGAGCATAAAGTCTACAGTGCTCTAAAGTATTTGCCCCCCTTCCTAATTTCTTAGGTTTACTTTTACTGCTAGAAAGTTTCTAGTAAATTTCATTAAAGGGAACTGTGAAAAAGGAAGTCGAGGCGTCATTTTAGCCACACTTTGGGGATTTTTGTCTGCGTGGGCGCGTTCGATCTAATCAGTCCACCTTTGTATCGTTCTTTATTTGAGTTTATTGCCAAGGAGCAGCTCATCTGCAACATTTGTACTACTTTTTAACTATGTCAATAAAAAACTATTTTTAATAAATACCAGTTTTGTTGTGGATATAATAATAATAATAATGGATTGCATTTATATAGCGCTTTTCGAGGCCCTCAAAACGCTTTACAATTCCACTATTCATTCACACACTGTTGGAGGCAGCTGCAGTTGTAGCCACAGCTGCCCTGCAGACTGACAGAAGCGACGCTGCCATATCGCGCCATCACCAGTAGGTGACATGTCTTGCCCAAGGACACAACGACCAAGACTGTCCGAGCCGGGGCTCGAACCGGTAACCTTCCAATTACAAGACGAACTGCCAACTCTTTGAGCCACGATCGCCCTTTGATTTAGAACCATGTGAGAATGTCTCTGAACATGCCTTCAATTCTGAAATATGTTCAAATGTTACACGTTAAAATAAAAATTCTGCATGTTTTTTTGTGGTTTGTGTAGCCGGCCACTGATGCTTGATTTTATGTGTTTGTTTTTCCAGACTGGGGGAAGAAGTGGGAGGCCTCTTCCTGCAGGCCTCACCTTGTGCTGGCATTGGTGGAGGGCTGGCCGGTGCCAGAGACTCTGGCTACGACTCGCTTCACCGACGCGTCAGCGTCCTGGACAGACTGGTGCATACCCATACTGTGTGGCTACAGCTGGGCCTTAGCCACGAGGAAGCCATGCACATACTGCAGAACGAGCAAGCTGGGGTGAGGCAACAGCTGCCACTGCGGCTTCCTTCTTTCCAACACTGCTAACTTACCTGGAGGCTCTCACTTTGGATTAATAGTTAATGTTTAATACAACAGAGGCATGAAATCACAACTAACATGGCAAACTTTTTCTTTTCCTCAATAAAACCAGTCACAATTGTAGTAGTGTATTGTTAGACCGCAGTCAGCTTATATGCATTACAACAAGATCACTCACTCAACAACATGATGGGAGTCACTTTTTTGAGTCTTAAAGAACTCATTTTGCAAAAAACGTTTTAAAAAAACAGTAAAAGTATCTCTGCCATGGTCGGTGTTTGTCTGTTTTTAAAGAAAATATTTTGGATAATTGGGACCAAAATGAAATGATATTGCCGATACCCCACCTCTCTGCAAGATTCCATCCAAATCTGTGTTTTTTAAAATAGGATAGGATATTTTTAGCCTCTGATAACAGTAAATATACAGCACTACACGTCCATTGTTGTGTATACGTTTTGTAAATATAGGAAGCGTCTGGATGTTAGGACATTCCTTACAGTATTTCCAGCTCTCTACAAAGCACAGCTGAGTCAGCAGAACATGAAGAATGACCCAGTTTTTGTGCAAACATTAACTGGATGTGTTCTCTTTCCTTACCCATAGACATTTGTGGTGAGGAAATCAGCCAGCCTGCAGAAAAAAGTCATATCTCTACGCATGGATAAAGACTCGAGCGTTCCTGTCAAAGATTTCCCCGTAAAGGAGAGCCAGTACAGTAAGTGTTTGTTTTTCCACTGAGATACACAAAGCTGTCAGTCACCAGCAGCAACAGGCAGAGCTGTTAATAGTGGAATGATGCAAGGAGAAGAACAAAGAATTTACAGGGGTAATTCCTCTACTGGATACTTTTAGGCAGTACCAGAACTTGTCACTACAATTAGCTGCTCTTTGAATAGAATGGTTTAATTATTTTGAGGACTCTGAAAAGGTCATTTACTGTCCATTACTGAACAGAAACCCAACTTGTTTAGATGCTTTTGGTGACAACATTCCTCATGACTCACACCTGTCTCATAACCAGCTATTTGAGTAGACAGGCAGTATCAGTAATTCTGAAGGCTGAAGGCCTAAATCTAAAATTGAAAAAAAGAATCCCAGGCCTAAACGACACTATAAACCACAGAGACTCAGGTCGAAGATGAACACAAGAGCACCTTCCAGCTGCCAAGTTCCCACGCAGGACCACAGCACTCACAGCAGGGCCGTCATCAGAGATGAGCTCGGCAAATAGCAGACAAGCCTGTAGTAAAACCCTAATACTTATGTCTTCAAAATATGTCACAGGCTTTCATATATTGTTTGTTTCGCTTTATTTCTGTGCTCACTTCTTCCTTCCCTGTCACTCTGAATAAGTGTGTTAGTGTTGCATTTTCAGCCACATAAAAAGTGGGATTTCCCAGACTTCCAGAATGCATACAGTGTGCTTCTTGTACCTGTCTGTTGCCATCAGTTTCTGTCTGCACTGAACTGGAATTTCCAAATGCTTACCCAGCAACAGAATGTGCTGAGTGTGAATCTCAGCCCTGCTAAACTAAAGAGACAGTGACGTTTCTCTTTGCACCTGCAGAGAAAACAATGAGCACAGTGAGACAAAGTCTTCTACTGAGCATTTCCATCGACTGTAATACTCTCAGTGATCTCAGTGATTTGCAGCAGTAATAATGAGTTACTGTTTTTTAACACCTGATGTTTAAAGACCACTTTCCTGTTCCTTTAAAGTGACTTTTCTTAAGCTGACATGCATGGAGACATTCTGCAATAATCTGGAGGACAAACAGAAATGCAAACAGAAAGAGGGCTGGATTCCCCTCCTGAGCAGCAGTTGCATACCTCCAAAACTTGTGCTGTTATGGAGTTTTTCCACTTTACCCCTGCACTGCTGTCTGGAACTGTTTTTTTTTTTTAAAGTAACCGTTAGTGGTATTTTCCATCTGGTGTGACTCTAAGCTCACACTAGCCACATTGTCCACTGCATGAAGAGCTGGCCCTTGATTGAGCTGTGATAAACATTTGGCAAGCAAAGCTGCAGGTGTTGCAATAACAGTTTAAAACATTAACAGGAGCGCTCTACCTGGGAGGGAATTCTTCCATATGAATCATTTGCTCTGTAACGAGTCTGTTCTGTGGCCTGTTTAAACCCGTGCTCTTTAACAGAGAATTCTGATTAATGGACTTTGATAAAGGTATTTGGGCAGGTATCCTGTGATGAGTGGTGTGGGAATGTGCTACCAGGCCTGCTGTCATTGCTGTAATGACAGGTAATAATAAGGGCTCTTTTCATGTGTTAAAGTCAATATTTCAACAAGTAAAAGTGAAATGACTGAAGGAAGATTTGAAGTCCCAGAAAAAAGAGACGTGTACATGTCGGCAGGTTTGGTTTTAACCCACTTTCCTTCTTTCCAGAGACTGTATATGATGTCTTTGTCTTACTGCATTCTACTCAGAGTTTAACGCGTTCACCATTCGAAGATCTTGGTCATGTTTAGTTCAGTGCCCGGAGCGTTGACTGTGTGCCAAGTTGTGAGCAAACAGCCTTCTTGATTTGTGTATTACTGACAACATGCGTGCTAAGGATTTCCTTCTTTGTTTTCCAGCATGGTGTTCTTTTACAAACTGATGAGTCAGTAAGTCGAGGAAAAGTGCTCACACACTGTCATTCTCGTTGCTGTTGTTTGTATATAGTTTGTAACCTTGTGGGGATTCCTTTGAATTAAGGGACTATAAAGCAGAATTGAACCACACTTTGCATGCACTGACTTCAAACATGTGAATGTTTTGCTTTGCCTCATTGGCCTTTGTTGCTGCAAACCGTTTTAAAAAGACTGAGCTGTCTTTTTCTAATGCTTTTTGCCCTCTGATGGTTTCCTTCGCTGGACTGATCATGTGCTTCTGTTTTCCTACAGCTTTCTCTCTAGAGGGATCAGGACTGAGCTTTGCAGACCTTTTCCGCCTCATGGCCTTCTGCTGCATCAGCAGGTAAAGTCACCATACCATCATTATTGCAAACTGTTAGACATTCATATTTCAGCTGTTAGCTTTAAAGCACATATCTGCTGCTTCTGTTTCTGTTATTTAAAAACCATCATCACAAAACTCAAGAAAGAAGAACTACTGACCCAGTTACAGTCCCGAGTCAACCAAAACACACAATCGCTCCAGTTTGTCCTCTGGCTTCCCCGTGGTCTCCTTGTGGCTGGATATGTCTGAAACACCTCATCTAGGTGGCATCTTTGTCAGACTCCCAAACCACCTCTGCTGGCTTCTTTTGATATGGAGAAGCAGCAGCTGCAGTCTGAGCCCGCCTTGAAACACTGAGCTCCTAACGCTGCATCTGACGAGGAAGCTCAAAAGTTCCACAGCCTGTATTCACAATCTGCTAGCAGTTCATAATATGGGTAAAATGCTTATGCACTGTTGATTGTTCAGATATGTATTGACCTATCTATTGCCTGCTCTGCACGGGGGTCGCACATCAAATGTTCTGCTGAAGCATTCCTCACAGGACATCCTGGACATTGAAGTCCGAAAACACTCCTGGTGTCTGGGATTGCTTCATTATTACTGGATTATTTGCATAATGTTTGTTTCTCAGACAAAATCATGTTCATTCAGTCCCATGAACAAATTTACGTAATCTTTTTGTTCAGAATCCTCAGAATTTGATATATAACCGATAATACCCAAATTTCAGACTTTTGAATGTGAACCATAATTCAAATTTGGATTCCACACTCTACAAGACCTGTTGCCACTGATTTTCTGTCCAGTTCTTGAGTAATTGCACCAGAGCAAAGGAGCGGATTAAGAATAGCTTTCTGACAGCCTCAAGTCGATTTCTGATGAGACTATGATGAACAGTAGATCAATGGAAGAGTCAGATGTATCTTGACCTGGGTCAGGTCTTTTGGGGGATTTTATGTTTTTTTCCTCCAAAGGATATCATTTTCAGATCCTGTTCTTCTGCAGTAGATATTTTTTAGGCTTCCTTTTGGCCCTTCCCTTTTCCAATGTTCTCATTTCATCCTTTTTGAAATCTGCCATGTTTGGAAGCTCTTTGGAAATGACCTTTGGGTTCAAAAATTATTAGCGGTCAATTCTGTCGTCATGTGGAACTGTGAACGGTGGTTTGATAACAGTTAGTCCTTTGGTAGCTGCCACACAACTATCTGTTGGATAGTGTACTGGACAAATTCTCAGGGGGATCAAATACTTATTTCCTCACTAGAACGCACATATATTAATTAATTAATTAATTTTTATAGACTGCCTATTTCTTTGTAAGTTGTTAAAATGAGGAATTCAACAGGGGATCAAAATGTATATCCTGCACTGCCCCAGTGTGTCCAGGCTTCACTGTGACATCACTATCATAAAATTAGGTTCACTGTTGTTCACGCAAGCTTGCATGACCGAAACTAAAATCTTTGAAATGTTTTGGTAAAGTCCCAGAGGTAGCACAGCAGCATGCACATATTATCCTCCACAGTTCTGTGGTTGAACCCACACCTTAGCCACCATCGCACACAAAGCTGAGCCACAGCTTTTTCAACACGGTGACTAACACAAGTTTGAGAGTAGCTTTTTAAATCAAACCGCTTTTCCTCCGTGTTCTAACTTTCATCGATCCTTTTCTCTCTTTCTCAGGGATGTGTTGCCGTTTACTCTGAAGCTCCCAGAGGCCATCGCTTCAGCCAGAACTTTTTCTGATCTTGAGGAAGTTGCTAAGCTTGGTGCAGGTTTGTTCACTTATTTATATGTAGTGTGTGTTAATGGTCAAGCTGGGGAACTCAAACTGCAGAGACAAATAAATATGACGTAATTGGCTACATATAAACTTTAAATGTTGAAGCCATTTTGAGAATAATGTTTGTGTAACATCTGTGTTCAGTGTAACTCTCAGTGATAGTTGGTTGTTTATTTATAGAGCTACTTTGGAAGCTTATAGAGCTACTTTGGAAGCTTATAGAGCTACTTTGGAAGCTTATAGAGCTATGTATTCTATGATTAGGAATAAAAATAAAAATACTTGAAATGTGCAATTCACTTGTATTTTTATTTTTATTCCTATTTATTCTATTTATCCCCTTCGTATTTTGTGTGTGTGTGTGTGTGTATATAATATTCTGTAACTCTGCAACTTCTGTCGGTGCTGTGCTTTTGGAAACCGAATTTCCCAGAGGAACCCACCCGAGGGATTAATAAAGTTTTATCTTATCTCTCTTATCTTATGAAAGTCTAAGGAATGCAGTATTTGCTGCAAGTATGGAAGTAAATTACTGCTGAGCGCTGTTGATAGCCAGTTACTATTCTTCTCCATTCAGTCATTTGGAAGTAATTAATGTAATTAATGATTGCTCAGTTTCAGTTTTTTTGTTCAAACTGATTTGTGGACTCCCGTCAGCAGACGGTACTTTCTCTTTTCCCACATTTATCGGGTGTAAAACCCGCAGAAACTTTTTTCCTCCTGTGGCCCATCCCAACCACATTCCATGGTATTTGAGGAGTTAACTGGCATGCTGGTGCTGAATGAATCAGTCTTGGGGACAAAAACGTCTTCCACACCCAGATCAGTGCGACTGAGCTTTGTTTAAATCAGGCAAGACCGCCTGTGTTTGTGGAAGAGATTTTATTCATGTTCATGACTTACTGGTGTGAGGTCAACGTCATCACCACCAACAACCAGCCTCAATCCCTTACCCAGTACTAGGGATGCACAATTATTTCAATTTTAATCTTGATCACGATTTTAGTTTAACGCAATTTAATGAAGACGATCAAATGATATTGAAAGTGGTGGTCTGCCAGTGGAACACAAAACAAGAGCAAATCAAGCTAACTTAATCAACCACCTAAGAATTCACCTCAAACTGCACTACATCTAATCATGAAGGCCCCGGTGCTGTGACTTGTTTAATATCAACTCAGACAATTACAACTTTTTCACATTTTTCCTCTTAGGGACACAGACCTGTGAAAAAGTGAAAGCATGACTCTAAGACAAACATTATTATCACTAAACTCAATGAATAATCCTGACAAATAACTGCGATAGTCGTTTTAGTCGTGGTGCCACCCTCCCTTTTACTATCATGGGATGATTTTTGGCTAAGTCTCAGCAAACCAGGGACAAGGAAATAATCATTGTGACACAAATCAAAAACATTTTCCCTTTTTAAGTTGATTTGTTTTTTAAACATGTAAAGTGTGCAGGGATAAGTCTCACCCTGGTAGGTTACCACTTACAACATTTAGTTTTCTGTAAATTCATCGTAAAGGCAATAGTCCTGATGACATTCAAGCATTTAAGATTATTTTTTGAGCCTTTGTTAGGCAGTTTGACAGTGGAGAGTAGGAAAGCAGGGAGAGAGAGTGGGTGATGACATGCAGCAAAGGGCTCAGAATCGAACTCCCTTTGATTTATGTTCCACAGCACTCTTTTTTTTTACATCCTTCTCAGAGCAACTTTTTTATCCACTCAGACTCTACCACTGTGATTCAGCTTGAGGCATTAAGGGGTGCTCAAAGGTAGACTTGACTTCTTCTTAAAGAATTCCATGTGACACGATGATTTGATGACTTTCTTGCCTTTTATTGAAGTGCGTACAGACTTGTTGTCTTAACAACCCCTCCCCCCACAAACAGTCTTTCATTCATAAAAAGGGCGCCTTTTTGGTGAAGTGACACAATAGTGGCCTTTGTGTTGCTAAAGGTAATTGAGCTACAGTGAATAGTTGATCTAGGAGACGTTTCTGACGTTGATATGAACAAGTATGCTTGTGAGACTCTGTGGGTATTACTTTCACCACTGACTCACAGAGGAGAAAAGATCACTGTTGAGTGTGACGTTGTCAGTGTCATGTTACCTATGTTGTGTGGCGCTCCACCTGTGATAACACTGTTGTAGGGAAGGTTTTTTTAGTAAGGTAACTGACTTTTTGTAATGTTCTTAAAGTTTAGCTTGGCAGCCGGGTCCAAAAGTGGCCCATTAGACACTTCATGTGTACAGATTTTCTATTTGGCTGACAAATTAGGAGGGGAACTTTTAAGATCAATGATATGTTTTTGTATTTAGTCTTGAATTGATTAAGTTTTGATGTTTTGCACCATAATAACTTTATCTTTAAAAATGTGCTTAAAGAACTAAGAGCATAAATGACATAAATGTAACGTTGGCGTGAATATTTTAATGGATTCTCACATTAGCTAGTCATTAGTCTCAGTGCAGACCTCGGTTCTTTTTAACAGCCAAAAGGGGACAACTTCTTTTGTTTGGGAGGTCTGATCTTCATAGAAGTCTATCCTTGATCTTTTTTTCGCTCTTCTCTGTTGGCAACGAACTCCACTGTCGTGTTCCTGCTCTGCTTAGCTTGTCAACCAATCAGCATTTGACCAGTTGAGCAATGTACTGTTGGGTTTTCAGGGGACTGCATGGGAGCACGTTTGCATTGGTTGAAATTTTGCATGTTCTCCCCATGACTGTATAGCTTCTAACGTAGAAAATGAAAACATACATGGACTCCAAAGACACGCATGATGTAAGTGAAATTGTTCTAAACTAGCCATGGGTGTGTACGGTTGCTATCCATATGTGTTAGCCCTTAGCCAATTCAGAGTTCTTGGCAAGGGCTTAGAGCGAAGTAGATGAATGGATGTTTTTGCCTCCGTGAGTACTTGTTTAATATAAAGCTTCTCAGACCAAGTGGGTCATTAACATTATTATTTAACCCCTAATTTATGTTAATATTAGTAAAGCTGAATTTTTCTAAACACTGTAAGTAATTCAATAACATAAATTGTTTTTTGGGTGTTTTGAACGACACATCAATACTCCCCCCGAACTTCTAATCTGTTTAATATTGTTCCCATTGCAAAAACCTTTGGAAACCATCGCTTTAAACAACATCATTGAATTGTTATTTAATCTTTACAAATAATTTCCTTAGTATAGAAATAAAAGATAAATAAAACATTTCTAATCTTGTATCACTAAATATTTGCCTTTCTTTTGTAGATGTCATCAGGTTCTCAGCCTTTGATCAGTCATATTCCGTCGTGTTTATTTGGCCCTGACTCCATATTCTTTAATATTGTTCCTCCGTCAGTATCAGATCCAGTTATGAACTATTTGTTGCTCAGGTTTGCAGCTGAAACACGTGTTTTGTTGTTGTTGTTGTTGTTGTTGTTTTTTCATGAACTGCTCTATGTAGATATTGGCAAGACACTAGCAAGGCAGGCAACACCAGACTCACCAGAGTGTGTTACTATTATGTTACTTGCAAGTGTCTTAGTTAATTTAACAAGTGAAAAGGAAGGTTAGCACCTCCTGAGAGCGAGTAGCTTCTGTCTGAATGTTAACAATGGGAGTGATAACTTATTAATCAATGCCCGAGCTTTCCTGATTCTTATGCTCAGTATTTGACCTGAGATTCACACTTTCTATTTTGTACCTGTATATTTAGTGCAGGCTGTCAAAGCAGAGCTGTAAAGCGTCATTTCCGGGCTCATTAAGAGATCTGTTGGGTTTTGATTGGTTGTTACTGATCTGTTAGTAATAACACTGATCTTGATGATAATCCTTAGGATCAGCTCAGCATGTTGCTAATACACTGTAGAGTCTGGCAACATCCTGGTGTGCTGCCTGATAATCAGATCTACTCCTATGGAAAGCGGCATGTTCATTGATGGAACAGTTTGTTTCATCTGCCACTTGGTTAAGTTGAAGTAGTCTCAGCACTGAGAGAGCCACCACTTCCTCCCTCTGACTTTTTTTTCCTGGCTCCAGTTTGGCAGCCGTAGCTCTGAATGATGTCACACAATTTCCCAGTTCTTACACAAAACCACAGCAAAACACATTCCTGTCTTGGGCTCTGTATGTGCGCACTGTGCAGGACACTTGTGTTCCAGAAGTTTCCAGTTCGTGGGAGTCTTGTTGGTTCCTGGGTTATTCCTGAACATGCTAACTGGTGTTCTCTACTCTGAAGATGACAGTCTGGGACTTCTTCAACCCCTATTGAAAACAAATTGCAGTCCATGATTAAAAGCTGGGTCCACACCAGGGAATCCACCAATGTAGTCTGCCAAGAAGAGTGGTTATATCTAACCAGAACTATGCCGAAAGCTTTTTGGTGGCTACTGAAGGTGCATGATTAAGGTGCAACTTGCTAAGGGAAATTTAACCGAATATATGTATGATTTTGATCCAAAATAAATTCAAACTTGTATGGCCAGTTTTTGTAGGTTTTTTTTTTTTTTATTTTATTTGACATCATTAAAGATGTATGCTGTATAATCATTCCACCCTGGAAAAAGAGCAGTTCAAAGAAATCATTAAAATCCCAACCCTGACATTCCCATCATCAGTATGTGTAAACTTTTAGCACAACTGTAACAAATGTACAAAGAAGTTTTTCAGCAAGTCTGAGAAGTAAAGGTTACTTATAGAGAGAATAAACATCAGCAGCGCAAGACGGAAATGGGGGGATGGACTTGTTTTGGTTTGCCACGCAGCTTCATGTGAAAGGGGAGAGGAGAGGTGGGTTGAGTGTGCCAACAGCCCGCCCACACCCTTATTAACACAAGTGAGTCATAACAAAGAGGGAGTGCGAGCGAGCCACAGAAACCGGCAGTTTCAGGCTGCAGAGACGCAGTGTCCTCTAAACACAAAGTTAGACTGACATCAGCAGTTCGCCTGTGCCATTCAGCTCTGGGTCACAGTAAGTACTGTTGTTTCCTCTCTGCTGTGTGTGAAGGAGCTGCACTGTGTCTGGCACTAATATTTCTCATATGCCGTTGTTTCCTCTGCTGTGTGTTTGTCTGGTACGGCTCAGACTCCAAGTGCTCAACAAAGAGTTGTGTTAAAATTGTTTAGTGCCATTTCTCTCTTTCTTTCCTCTGTTGAGAAAAGCTCCTAACAGCATGAAGGAGCATTTAGAGGTTTTTGGCATTTGTTTTATTTAGCGGGGCTTTTACTGGGAGTTGATGGGAGCACTGCTGAGCATTTTCCTGCTCTTCGCTGAACTGTTGGATCTATAAACGTGTCGGCTCCCAGTAAAACCGTGGAAAAAAAAGATAGCTGACTCTGTTTATTTTCTTGGCACATTTTTTGCTTTTGAAAGCAAACCACCCAATAAATAGCTCTTCTACTTCACTCCAACTTGATTCTGCAGTGAGAAGCTGTTTGACTGCAGTGGGCAGAAGGATCTTTTACTTGATTGTGTTTTACACAGCCTCGCTGAGGGACATCACAGGCAAGTTGGACTGTTCAGCAGATGCAGTTTGAGATAATTGTGAGCAATGGTGATGCTTTCTTTGTTAAATGGTGCTCTAATATTGCAATGAAATCTAAACAGAATTATTTTGGCCCTTATTAGTCAATATTCGTGGCACTCATGCCTCCAAAGCTTTTGAGGGTGAAACAGTTCAAATTTCTTACTTACAGAAAAATATTGTTACATGATACTAGACTGTAATATTTGAATTCATGAGTCTCCCTCATCTTGCCATATGTTTCTTGTCTTTTGGCTGTTAGATTATGACAAAAAACGCAGTTATTATTTTTAGTCAGTGATTAAAATCTCCGTTAATTAACAAGGTTATTCATTAACTTGATAAGTCAAGTATTTATTGATTTCTTTTTACAGGGGATTTCCTTGGACATGAAGTCTGATTCAAATTAAAAGCAAACACAAAGGATTTCTAGGAAATGTTTCCCATTTTTTACCCTTGATTTTTCTTACTTTCATCATTTATGAAAGCCACATTTTGGCTGAACTTGAAATCTAATCAGTCCTGTTTTTATCTGAAAGCTGTGAAAAGGCAACTCTGATAAATTTGTTTATAGGTTATAGGGCTCATGGCCTTGGGGATTCGTTTTAGCAGATCAGGTCAATCACAGTAACGCACTATCACTTTATGATTATGGTCATGGTCAAAATAATCTGAGGTAATGAAGTTGTATGGAAGTCTGTAAAAGCTTACAAAACATTTATTTAGGGTATTATACAAGTATTGTTTACACAATGTTGATATTTAATTTAGACATTTCATGGTTACTGTTAAAAAAACAATAGAAAACAATATGAACACAAGATCTTTCATTTGCTGTTTCTTTTTAGGCTTCTGGGATGTTCCATTGTGCAGCAGGAGGAAGAGCCCAGTGTCGTTGACGGGGACAGCAGCCCCTGACAGACCACCCCCACCTGCCCACAGACCAGTGTCCTCAACAGCTACCTCAGGACGCCCTCGGCTTCAAACTCGCACCCCATCTGAGCTTGAGTGTTGCCAAGCCAATGGAGCGCTGTGCTTCATCAACCCCCTCTTCCTAAAGGTCCACCAGCCAGATGATAACCAGAGCTTCACTCCCAACATCCCCGACACAGGAAAGCAGGACCTGAGAGAGGAAGCTGACAAAAGAAAAGGCAGCAGTAAGGAAGCTCAGGTTTGCAGCTCAGATCACAGCCACAGCAGCCAGTCACAGCAAGAAAACCTGCAGAACCCTGACAGAAACACAGAGCTACACACCAGCACAAGTCACAAACTCAGCGGGCCAGAAAGCGTGACACGATTTCCACCACCTCGGCCACCTCCACCTCGCTTTACAGCACAGCAAACAGCCCCTCCTGTTCGGCAGCGCAGCATGCCCGAAAAGATCTCCTGGATCAAGGAGAAGGTGGAGGAGAGGGAGCGAGGCAGCAGCCTCCTTTCTCGCCTTGGCTCCTCGCTAAGTATCAGCCCCTCATCCTCTCCGCCTAAGAGACTTAGCATCAGCTCACCTATATCCATCCCCCGGCCATCACTGCCCCTCTCTCTGCCATCTCTGTCCTCATCTCCACGTCGAACCAAAGCCTCACCAACATCCAGTCTAGAGGACGCTCAGTGTCACCGAGCTCTGGAGGACGACACCATTGAGAAGGCCCTAATCAGAGCCAAACTATCCCGGCAAAAGGCTCTACCCTGCTCCCAGAACTCCTGCAGTCCCCCAGACTCCACCGTGGTGACAGCAGTCGAGCATGGAGAGGTGGGCGGAGGAGAGGAAGAAAGAGTTGACGAATGCAGCGGGGGCAGCCAGCGGCTCAGTGACATGAGTCTCTCCACAGACTCGTCAGACTCGCTGGATTTCTCTCAGTCCTCAGCTTTCTTTATGCCTCCTATGCATGACCCCAGCCCCCCCACTGAGGCTGACTTCAACACCCACCTCCCCCTCTCCATCCCACCGTCCCACCTAGGTTTCTGCAGTATGGAGGACGATGACGACGATGAGGATGAAGATGACGAAGAGGAACCCGACTATGGCGTCAGCCTGGAGAGCGATCAGGACCAAGACCAGGACCTGACCATGGTGCCACCTGGACACCGCACAAAGCGTCGCCCCAGTGCCAGTGCCCTGGTCCTCCAGAAGGCCCTGCGAGGCCATTTTCGCAAAGTGAGTGGCGTTTTCAACTCGCTGCTCACACCTGAGAAGAGGGCGATCCGTAAAGTGGTAGAGCTGTCCAGAGATAAGAGCTCGTACTTCGGCTCCTTGGTGCAGGACTATCTGAGCTACATGGGCGAGGGTGCGGGCACCCAGGCATGGCAGGGATACGACTCCGGACTGGACCTGCTGCAGACTCTCCGGCAGTTTATCACACAGATGAAGAGCTACCTTCGACAGAGCTCCGAGATGGAGCCGCCCATCGAGAGCCTGATCCCAGAAGACCAGATCGGTGAGTTTGCAGTGCAGAGTGTGGTCCTCCATCATTTTACTTTAGCACAGAGCTTTATTTTCTCACCTGTGTTTTCCCAGACATTGCACTGACCCTCCAATACTAACATCATAGAGGAGAATGTCAGCTTGTTGCTTTAATGACAGCATCAGATCACTGCTGAAGTAGCCGCTCTGCACAGTTGCAACATTTCTACCTTTTTTAAGCTTCTGATCTCATCGTTTCTCAGCAGGTAGTCAGCTCCCTGCATGACTGCAGATAAATGTGACAATTTCTAGGAAGTGTGAATGAGTGACACATTCAGAAATCTTAATCATTGTGGAAAATCACAGTCACATTAACTCCAATTAATGCACATGTAGCAGTTTCACTTCAGTATTTTAGCAGTGAACACTGGAAAACGCTTTGTGTGTCTACTTTAGAAGCAGAATGCAAATCTCTATTGAAGCAATAATTGTGTTTGCATTTCTCTGTTACTGCCCTTTTACTATTTTTATCCTTTTTTTCCTATCTTACAATGTCTTTAAAGCACTTTGGAGGAGGACAGCCAGACACAACTACACAACCACACACACGCACATACAATGTCTCACTGACACACACACACACACCTGCCGGAAGAGTCTGAATCATTTAGGCCAAGATTCAGTGGCCACATTAGACCTTGGACAGAAACATGTAAACACAGAGCACAAAGAGGGTTTTATCTGTGGAGGAAGGAGCCCACTTCACCAACCTGTTTTTACTGGCCTCGTTCAGAAAGTTGAGCAAAGGGCTGCAACTATGAAGTCATGAATTGGGTGGAGAAGTGCTGACAGTTGACTTTGTAATGTTTTTTCACCTGTAAGAAAGTTTGTTTGTGTATCAGGATTGAAGGATCCATTTTTTTTTCAAAGCTCGACCCGGAGCAGAACAGGGTATCTCCATCTCTGCTCATTTCATTATAAATAGTTTGGAATGCTAAGGAAGCATTCTGGGAAGCATCCTTTTGGATTTGGACGTGTGAAAACCTCCACAGGCTGTTCAGCTGCTAGAAAATGGAAAACGTTGCTTAACACACCTTTAAAGCCAGAAACATTTTCATTATGTTCCATTTTCCCCTTGATAAATAATTTGATTGACAGCTACAATCGGTGTGGTGTCTGAAGGGAAAACTAAAATTGAAAGAGCAGCTTTGTGTTTCCATTGTTGCGTGTTGTGGCCCCCTCTCGTGCCCACTCTCTGAATGGCTTGTTTTTCTCAGGGATGACACACTGGGAACTGCTGCGGCTTTTACTTCTTGGAACACTTACACAACATTTAGTTGTGGCAGCTTCAGAGAGTGTTTTCTGTTGAGCTCAAAGGCCGGCTGGCCCAGATGCCTCTGGATGGCCGTCTGCCAAGTCATGCAACCGGTCTCGGTCCAACTCCAGCTCTCCAATCAGAGGAGAGGATTAGAAGCAAGCCCCCATCACACTGTGCCTCTCCCTGCCCTTCACTCTTTGTTTTTAATCTGTGGTTCTTCAATCTCTCCCTCTCGCACTTGACACTGCCAGTAGGTGGTGTGAGAAAATGACATAATGTGAATTAGATGAAACCGAGAGGTGACCTAAAACAAGATGTACCATCAGGCCATCTGTGTTGTAGATGATGTATGGTTTTTGGGAGTAGGTCGATTTCAAATATGGAAGCCACCTCTGTGCTTGTTGTGCTCCTTCATCACCCCAGCTGTGTATGTGTTCAGGATGGGGAGGGGGAGTAGGGGGCAGGGGAAAATAGAGTCTGTTGTGTTGAAGTCGTCCCACACAGAGAGGCTGTCCTCCAGCAGACAGCCTGAGCCAGATCAACATCATCATCAAGCAGGTCTAACTTATTGATGATGTTATCATATGCACACCTTGGGACTCTGGCTTTTACTTATAGCTCTGATGATACTTTTATTCCGCTGTTGCTTTTAGGTCACATATCAGCTTAGAAATTCACTTCTTGTACAGACAAATGACACATAACATGCTAATTAACATGTTTATTGATGCTGGAAGGTGGATTTTATTTCCTTCAGACAGATCCACACTAGATATTCATATATATATATAAAAGACCACACTGCAGTCGTCGTCTTGCTGTTTTGAAACTGGAAGTGATGAGCAAGTGTTGGAGCTGAAAACGTAAACTTTTTTGTTTGTTTGTTTGTGGGTTTTTTGCGTTATTCACATTGGTCTTGCTTTATCCTGCTAAACACATTCAAGAGGAGTTTATGGGATCAAAGGTCAAAGTAGATGAGGTCTGCTGTTCTGTAGATGTCTTAAACATGCTGCTGGTATGACGAGGACGAATCAAAATGCTATTTTTAATGGTTCAGATTATAAGCAGGAAGTCAACAACCTGTGTCGCTTCTGGCTTCAGTGACAGAACAGATACTCACTACTGTTCCTGATTTCAGCAGGCTATTTATAGTTCAAGGAGACAGTCACTTTGTACACACACACACACACACACACACACACACACACACACACACTGTGTGTGAGTGTATAATGGTATTTGATGTGGTCTCACTGTTATTTTATCTTCACCAAATGGATGGTGGATAAAACCTGAAGGTTCAGCTGTTCCCCGTAGACAGTATTATGTGAGACCGCCCAGCTGCAGCAGACAAGGTGATTGGTTAAAGGCTGCGTGGAGGATGCTTGGTGAGAGGATGTTTATATTCAGAGGGGAAGACACAAGAAGTGTGCAAGTTTGTGTGTGATTGCTAGCTTTCCCTGGCCTTGGCTGATAAGTTGTCCCCAGGAAAACGGGTGCCACTGTGATGTCTGCAGTCCATCTGTGATCCAGGACACAGGACACTGTGACATTTCCTTAAACCTGCTCTCACATTATTTTAAGGTGGATGCATGCATGCAATCTAAAGAAGCACAGAGTCAACGTGCGGAAAACTTCAGACCGCAGGCTAAAATATGTTCACACTTTTACAAGCCTATAAGCACAGAGCTTTAGTCTGAGGAGTCTCATTAGTGTGTCTGTAAATCTGGACATGTCCCTCTTTAGGGTGACTTGGACACAGCTCTTACCTAATGTCCACAGTGAGGAATGTTGGCACTGTTTTTAATTACTTAGGCAGAGCAGTGGAGACTGCAGGAAAGAAAATGCTCCCAATTTAAAAAGCCCACAGCTATGAGTTTTGTCCTTCTAGTTTTTAACCAAAATGCTCACAAGTTAGGTTTTAACGGTTAGATATCAAATTTACTGTTCACTACCGAAAGCTGACATCAGAAGCTATTTTTCAAGCAAATGGGACCAAACTCCACTGGTTCCAAGTTCTGCAATAGCAGCAATTGCTGCTTCTCTCAGATTTCTAGCTTTGGGAAAAGGAGGCAGGGCGGCGAGTATTTTAGACTGTTGGTAAAACTTTAGAAGCCATTTCAAAAATGGTTAAAAGTAATTTAAAAAAAACGCAGACCGATGAGACGTTTAGGGGAAAAGACCAGATCACAGCAACAGCTGCCTCAAGACACTTTATATTGTAAGGTAAAGCTCCTACAATCATGCAGACAGAGCGTCAGCATTCAGATGAGTCTCTATCAGCAGCCAGAAAGAGTGGGAAGGAAAAACTCCCTTTGAACAGGAACAAACAGCCATGTTGTTATTCTTAGACTCCAGTTCTTCATTACCGACAGTTGAAAATAGACCTTGTTTATTTGCGCAGCTCCTTTGTGAAGCAAAATTCCTGCACTTTGTAAACAAAGAGATTGAACAGGAGGTGGAGTGAGGGATATTCCCCCGAGTGACATCACACAAAACTGTGTGAACCCGAGTGGTCATTGTTTGAAACTTTGGCCAACTTTAATAATAATATGAACTACATAATAGTATTTAATATATTTGACAGAAATGGGTCCCCCCTTTTTGATTGATCAAATGTTTCAAAATTACATGAAATGAGGAAAAAGGAAGCGGTGGTTTCAGACAGTGGTGCCGTAATATCATTTTTTCAAGCTTTTCTTTGGAAATACTTGAACAGTTCAGTTTGGTGTGACTTCCATCTTTGCCAAGCTGCAGAGCATTACGGTAAGGAACGTCAGTGGTGACATGTAGTGGCAGGTAGGTGGTTTCCAGTGAGTGAAAGATCTTATCATGGAGATAAGCCACAGTCACACCCTGGATTATCAGTGTTTGTTGACACAGAGAGTTTAAGCACTGGCGAAATCTGCTCACTCCTCATTCTTAATCCGTGGCAGCAAGCAGTGATAACAGAATCATGCAGAGCACCTTGTTTACTGGAAGTTGGTACACAGTGATGGAATGAGGAAGTGAGAATGTGCTGCTGGAGAGTTGCCAGCTTGGTTCTCTGATGCAGCTCCAGTAGGCGTACATCTGGAGGAGTGGAGGAATCTCACAGACATGCGTGAAGCAGACTCGGACTTTGATACTTCATCGGGAGGAAGCTGATGGAGATGGGTTCATGTGGCGGAAAGGTGTGTGTGTGTGTGTGTGTGTGTGTGTGTGTGTGTGCAGCTTTGCTCAGCCAGAGAAACTGCTGACTCCGTATTCCTAGAGAACAGTCAGCATCTCTCACACATTCCTTATTCAGCAGGGCTGTGGTTTGGCCTCCTGCTCGTGTGTTAGTCAGACTGCACAAGCCGAAGAAGCTCATGATGGTTTGACTCCTCCTAGCTGAACTTTGAGCTGCACACATGGTCGTCAATGGGAACTTGATTTACACACATGATGATGACAAGTAGAACTGATCTGATCGCGACACCCTCCTAACAGCTTGTAGCTCTTAAATCATAGCTCACGCTACACAATGAATTTGGTATGCAGTGAACATGGGTAAAATTATTAATGTCACAGCTAAAACATGTCTCACTCAGTGATCTGTGGACCCTCTTGATCTCATATCACAGGTTGTATTTTATCACTGTGTAGGTGTTCAGATAGAAAACAGTAAGTGGGAGAGCACTTCCTTCAAGAGAGATGGTATCTAAAAACACACCACTATTGCACTGACTCATATTCACTGATGTGCTTTCCTCTTGTGGAATCTTTACTTGTTTTTTTTTATTTAGACTCCACTGACATTTGTTTTCTAATATGCGACTCACACGTACACATTACTTATGCACTTGATGGTGGGTGTGGCTGATGCAGGTGGGGGTAATTTTCCTGCTTCACAGAAACAATAATCAGCTACTTGGAGGGCATGCTAATGGGTCTTTTAGCAGTTAGCATGATCCAGGCTTGCTTGCCTTAGCTCATGTACCTCTGGGAGCAAAGTAGTGATTAGCGGTGTCCTTCATTTAGAGCCAGACAGACTGCACCAGCAGCTGCCTGGCGTTTGTGATGTTTGTATTATGTGTTTTGATTTGCTAGCAGCTATGCTGAACTTTCCTCAGCTCACTAACGGTTTATTTGTGCGAAACACTGAAAGATTCTCTTTGCGCTCGTCCACAGACCAAGTCCTGGAGAAAGCGATGCATAAGTGTGTCCTGAAGCCCCTCAAGGCCGTAGTGAGCAGCGCCCTGCAGGAATTCCAGATACGCAGTGGGGAGTGGCAGGAGCTGAAGGAGAACCTGTCCCAGGCCAAGGCCAGGCAGCCACAGGAAATGGGCGTGGCCGACGCACAGCCCCCGGACACAGTGGCCATAGAAAAGATCAAACACAAGTTCCACACCATGTGTAAACTGTACTCTCCAGAGAAGAAGGTCAGCATGCTGCTCAGAGTCTGCAAACTGATCTACACCATCATGGAGGACAACTCAGGTACAGATGAAAACCACACCCACACCCACAGTCAGTGTCGCATGGCAGGAATGATGAGTGAACCTGCTGTGTGTTTGACAGGTCGTCTGTATGGTGCTGATGACTTCCTGCCCATGCTGACCTATGTGTTGGCCCAGTGTGACATGCCTCAGCTGGACAATGAGATACTCTACATGATGGAGCTGCTGGACCCCTCACTGCTGCATGGAGAAGGTGTGGCACTTTTCCATGCAAACCAGCACAATCTACCCCATCCTCCACCCCCCACATAATTAACAGTGTGCCGCTGTGTGTGCGTGTTGATGTGCAGGTGGCTACTACCTGACCAGTGCGTATGGAGCCATGTCTCTGATCAAGAACTTCCAGGAGGAGCAAGCAGCCAGAGTGCTGAGCTCTGAGACCAGAAACACACTCCACCAGTGGCACCGCCGCCGCACCACCCAGCGCTCTGCACCATCCATCGATGACTTCCAGGTGAGAACGCACAAATAAGTTCACTCAGTGCAAAAGGTTTCTGTGACGCTGGCAGATTAGCACTGCTTTAGAGGTTGTCTTTTAGCTTCAGAGTTGATTTTGATATTTTTATACACCAGTATTTTCAAAAGCAACACCACCCAGTACAGCCTCTCAGCTTCGAAAACATGGCAAGGAGGATTTTCGGTGTTTAACTGCAATCAAAAACATCTGAGTCTTCAGGCTTCGTATGTTTGCTCTCTGAACACTGACCGTCTCCTCTGACTGTCCCTCAGAACTACCTGCGGGTTGCTTTGCAGGAGCTGGACAGCGGCTGCACAGCCAAGACCCTGCAGGTGCAACCTTATGCCACCGTGGAGGAGGTGTGCCAGCTGTGCGCCCGCAAGTTCAAAGTGTCTGACCCCGAAAACTACGGCCTGTTCCTGTTGATGGAGGGCAGCAGCCAGCAGCTGGCCCCAGACACCCACCCTCAAAAGATAAAGGCTGAGCTGCACAGCCGCCCGCAAGCCGGTCCCTTCTACTTCGTCTTCCGTCGCGTGGCCAGTAGCAGCACCGCCCAGCTATCTGCTCCCCTTCATGTGGCGCCCAACCTGAACGACCTCACCGTGACCTCTGACACAAAGGCCAACCTGAACGACCTCAGCACGGACCTGTCGACTGACTCCCCCAAACCCAGAGTCAGCTTAGGCCTGAGCCTGCCACCGAGCCACCTCAGCAGCTCCATCTCTGTGTGACTGTAGCAGCGAGCAGAAGCCTGAACAAGCTCTTTGTCTGCCGCAGTGTCACCCATAACTCCAGTAAACAAAAACATGTGGAGACACACGAGCTGGGCTCAGCGCTGTGGCGTGCCAGTCTTTGCAAAGCCGGACTTCTCCTTTCTTAGTCTGGGGAAGGTTCTGTCTGACAGGCCAGTTATTTGTCTTCCTGCTCTGGATTTCTTATCAGGGTAACTCTGTGGTAAACAGCTCTGTCAGTTGCTGTTTCCACCTCCTGATGGAGGGAATCTGAGCTCAGACACATGGGACAGTTCCTTTAAGTATACAAATAGATGTAGGTTTTATATGTCATTTAAGTTTACGTCTCACAGTTGCTGGTAAACTGTAACTTTATTGTTTGAATTTTAAAAAGATAATCCTTCAGATTGTTGATTTGTGTGGATTTAGCGGCACCTGGTGGTGACTGATGCACAAAGCCATTTAAAAAAGAGAGAATGAAGCCACAACAAACAAAACAATGTTATTAATAATAATAATAAAAACCCAGCATGCAATGCGCTGGACAGTCTGATTTCTTTATTAAAAAAGAGAAAAGATTCTCGTGGTTTCATGGTAAATGTGCTATTGTTAATAATGATTATTACTAACAAAATATATATAATAGGTATAAGGTTATATAGGTTTGCAATGATTCACTCATTCTTAAGAAGCATATGAAAAAAAATTGAATGTAATAAAATATAAACAGAGCTGATGTCCCAATCATTTGGACCAAACTGTTACCTGACCTGGCTAGCCACCATTGTTTAGGTGCAGCAGCTGCAGAGGTGTGAGCAGACCTCCACCTTTCTCACTCAAATGACTTCACACTACATCTAAACAAACTTGGATTTAAAAGATACAAAAATTGGTGGGATTCCCCTTTAACAGAACGCACAAATTTAAGAGACGCTGTTTTTTTTTGTTGATGACGGTGTTTTGTCATTTTTTTTGTTCCATAGTTGTCCCCACCATCTGCTGGATTTAAAGGGAATTGTTGATGCTGACGTAGAATGAGATGTGTCAGCGTGATCAGATCATCTGAAGGATTAACTTTGTAAAATTTAGCTCATGCATGTAGTTTGTGTTTAATGTTAGAAAAGGCAGGTGTTGCCAGTGTTTGTGTATTTACTGACAGTATCCTGGTGATATGAACGAGGCTCTTCCAGACCTGAGAGATGTTGCTGGTTATCGTTTCAGACCGTAGGGGTGGAACAGTTCTCCAAAGCCGTGGTTTCCCTTCATACCTCGGTTTTCGTTAGAGGAGAAGAAAAAGATTTTACTTGACCCCGACCTCATTATGAACAAAACGGATTCACTCGTTACCTGAATGGTCTGTAAATAGTAACCAGGCATTGACAGCTTCATATCACAGTCCAGGGAGACACGACCATGGCGTGACACTGTGGGTGTTTGTGTTACAGTTTCTGAATTGTTCCACTCCTATGAGAGTGATATGTGACAGATCCTGCGGCCGGCTGCCCCGTCTCTGTACTACTGACAAAGGCCTTTAACCCGGTAAGAACATGTATGAAGACACTGTGTGGACATCTAAGCTGGTCTGAGGTCCCACAGTCACACACGTTGAAAGGAAGGTGTAGAGGGTACTGTGATGATGGAGGGGAAAGTACTGAGAAGGACCTGCAGTACAGCGTAGCGTTGATTTTGGTGCTGTTGATCCAAATGCTTAAATTATAAGGTTTCAGGTAATCAGCATATAAATATATACACATTTACCAGTGTCAGTGTCCATTGTTTATCTGCCTGAAGTGCTGAAAGACTCTGAAACAGTCATTTTAAATTCCAGATTTCATTGTTTCCCTTGGCACAAAATAGAAAAAGAGCAGTAAAAATAAAACGAACGAAGGAATGAAAATATGAAATCAGCTATAGGCCAAATAATTATAAACATCAGCGTCAGCCCAAAATTTCACAATCAGCACATCTTGAGTTTGAACAATTGGAAAAGCTGAAAAAGATGCTCATGCAGTGAATGAACTGAAGTGCAGTGCTCTGTTCAGTCCTGTTTTACGCAGGATGAAGTGTAACAGCTGAAACAGGGAAGTGAAAGTGTTGTTGAGTAGCATTAATCTTGTACAGAGCCTGTCGTGCAGACCTCTGTGGGCCAAGTCTTCAGCGTCTGAATTTATACCTACTGCCATGTTCCTCTAACATTCTTTGAGTATTTATGTCTCTGTGCGGGGATTTTTCACAGATGGCTTTTCGATGTTAAAAATGTTCTTCATGGTGTCAAAATATCTTTAGTATCCAGGAGACATCCTGCTTATCATCCATGTCAGAAATATTCTTTTTGCACTCAATAAATGGTGGAAATGGAAATACTGTCTGTGCATTTGTTTGATCAATGCTCTGCTGTTGAGTCCCGTCATACCAGTTTCCTGCCGCCTGAGGGGGCTTGTGCCTCATTGATGCTGCATGAAGACTTGAAGATGAAAATGACCTCACACAAACAGGATGTATAACCACAGAAAGTACACATAACAGGCAGAACATGTGGCACCTATCATGTTTGTAGAATTTAGACTAAATTGTTATAGAATAATATCCTGTGTTTGACCAATACATTTTGCTAATAGTTTAACAAGCCCCCCTTCAGATGAAATGATAAAATCCTGGACTATTTGACCGTTTAATTTTTTTTTACTATGTTACTGCCTTGGAATGGTGACTACACCTATTGCACTGTAACTATGGGGAGAATTCCAGGTCCACTCATCCAGCCTTAATTATACGCAAAAAGGAAAGTTTTAGGCCTAATCTTAACAGTAGAGATGTGTCTGTCTCCTGAACCCAAACTGGATGCTGGTTCCAAAGAAAGCTGAAGGCTCTGCCTCCCATTCCACTTTTAAATACTCTGGGAACCACAAGTCAGCCTGTAGTGTGAGAGTGAAGCACTTTAATTTGGTGATATACTATAAGGTCATTAAGATAAGATGGGTCCTGAATATTCAAGAACTTGCATGTGAGGAGCAGGATTTTCAGTTTAATTTTGGATTTAACAGGAACCAATGAAGAGAAGCCAGCATAGGAGGAATCTGCTCTCTCTTTCTAGTCCCTCTACTTCATCTTCTAACTGTTATTGTGTTTATGAGCCATCCATTCTCTTCCAATTATTCAATTCAGGGTTACGGATAAATGTCATCAGCTGAAGCCAAACTAGAACTGGGCTATGTTTTAATGTAAAACATTTGTACCACAAGATGATGCAATAAGTCTATGAAACCTTTACTTAACCAGGCAACGCACAACGGCTGATGCGAAAACGCTTTGGGAAATGGGGTCAGGGTAAAGAAGAATTAAAACGCACAGCAGCACACATGTGAAAACACGCCCTCTGGTGGTAAATGTTTTCAAAATTAAATAAAATACTTTTAAAGATTCTAAAGGTTACGACCAGCCTCCCCCCCACACAGCTCAGTGCAAAGTCCTGTTTGACTCTTTTTTAATTTACAGAAACTCAATTTTCAGACATCAGATTTCCAACTCTTGATCTGTTGAGGTCTATCATGCACCATTCAGTAGCTGGAGGCTGAACTTTAAATGGCATTCTTCATCCTGACAGCTATCTGCCAGTTCAGCAGAAGCATTTAAAAAATGCTGAGTCCTCCTACACAGCCCCCACCTCCTTAGATGGTATGGATGTGACACCATGAGGTACACTCAAAAACTTCTCTCTCTCTTCAACTTGCATCATAGAGCCACAGGAGCAGCTATCCAAGCCTCCGAGGATCCCAGTTAAAAGGCTCAAAATAACCCACCTTCATATAGATGATCATCACTGCCAGCCTTTTCTACAAGACCCCTGAAGGCGCTTCAAGGTGAAGGATGATCATGTTTCTTCTGGCAGACTTGGCACACATACACATTTTCAACATCATTCTGAAGTAATGACTTGATTGGCTGGCTAGCATCATTGGGAGGGGTTATGATGCATGTGACTGGTCTGTGTTTCCAGTGTGCACATAGGGACCACCGTAAATATGAAAGAAAAATGGCCTTTGTGTCAGAGGTCACGGTGTAAATAAAATAACTGTCTGTCAAAATCTAACAGTAGGTCTGAGTCTGTATAGAACCAGACCCAGATAGCGTTCCATGGGTGACCTAGGCTTCAGACTTTTATACAGCACTCTGTGACTCCTTTTCTGTGAGCACTGTAATAAAGACACAATTTAAATACTTATTTCCTACATTTAGCATTAGAGAGTGTTAAAGTTCTGCCATCTTGTGCCGAAACAGAAGGTGATGTCACTGGATTGGTTGGTTGTTGCTAAAAGGCTGGTTTATGTTTCTAGTTGCATTATTTCTTTGTCAGCTTCAAGTGAAAAACCACACTGACTGTGCACCTATATTCAATGCGGTAAATGCATACAACATACAGAATTATCAGAAATAACTTGTTTGAATGTATAGATTTTCTATAGAATAATACTAAAAGTAGAGCACAAGCGATCGTGTCACCTTAAGCAATGACAACTTTATTAATGCTCAGGTAGCAAAATGATCTCTAAAATTACATTTGAGACATCTAAACACAAAGTAAACAATTTCTTTTGAAAAGTTTCTGCGTAGGAAGAGGTAAAGCTTAGATATGCACAGAAAGATATCATCTGCATACACTCTCACTCACTAGCTCTTACATCCTGTGCTAGCCACAGCATGCAGTCATCTAGGATTTCCAGTACAAACTAACTCCAGTGCCATCTAAAAATGCTTTAGACTCTGATCCCAAAGTACATTAAGATTTACCATAAATAATTTATTATATCGAAGTATCTCCATGCGAGTAAACAAAGGACAAGAAACACGTCAAAACAAAGGGGATTACAGAGGAGACCTAGGAACTATGAAAATATATTCAACAGATATACAGATTGAGACAAAAAATATATAAATACATTTACACCTATTTATATACATATGTACATCAGCAATATATCACCCATGTGAATATCACAAATTATTTAGAAATCTCCTCTACAAGATGTGTCGTTTTATAATGAGAGCGCGTTTTGGTTAGTTTCAAAGTACCTCATGTTTTACACTGTAGGTACATGCAGTTAATAGCAGCACATGACGTTTGAACCAAATAATCTGTAGCATAAATTGTTTGATAGTAAAGTGCACAATATATCTTGAAATAAATAAGATGGCCAAAACTGATGCCTTGGATTAGAAAGGTGTTGGTAACGGACAGGATGACACAGAGGAAAACCACGTGTACCTCAGAGAGGGGAATGCTACGAGACATTTCGATCCATTTCTTGATTTAGCTCATACTGATGTGTTTAACCTCCACAGTAATCAGACGCTTGAGATTTGGATATTTAAAAAAAAACAACAACTAATTTTTCTTTCTCATTTTTTACGCCTAGATAATTTGTCTATTTGTTCATCCCAGCAGCTGGATAGTGTAGTGGTACACACCTTTGGTGCAGGAGTCACAAGTTTGATTCCCACTCAGTATCCAGATAAGGGTGCTGCCTAGAC